TTCTATCCATCGCTAAAAATTCTGCTTCAGAATCATTACAGTAACTGTAATTAACATACTGCAGGAGTTTGTTCCCTTTATATTTTACCCGGCGAATATCTAAATGATATTTTAAATCTAACAATACTGAGGAACAGTCGGTGTTCATGAAAAATAATACTTTGCGTAATTACGTAGTTCGAACATATCTTAATAAATGTGATGTATTAACATTCAACCTCATAATAGTTACCTTAGTCACAAGGCTGATTGAACGAGGTGACTAAGCACCTTCAGTGTCAGTTCTAGGTACAATTTAGGCGACACACTTCAATATGACTGTTTTGAAAATACTGAAAGCAACTAATATATAATACTTTTCCTCATGATTGATAAACATATATATTTTATTTAGCTCATTTAGGTACCTCATATTTCGTTTTCTTTTTAACAATTCCAATTATTAAAATGTTTTGAAACCTATTCTGAGATTCACCTGCGATATTATACTGAACATTTTAAATAACAAATCATTTTGTGCGTAACTTACATGTTTATATTTTTTTCCTGGTCTAGTTTACACATAATGTACAATGTGCTTTGTACGAAAGACCGGGGTTTAACATTTATTTTCATGAATTATCGGGTTCATCTTCATGGATTCACAAATTCAAGTTCATGAATCAAAGATAACAACTTCGTGAATTCACGATTTCAACTTCATGTTTTCAATTTCAAATTGTAAATTCAAAGATGAATTCGGATATGCATGAAGTTGAAATGTAACCGACCTTTTGTAGTTTCGTCTGCAAACTCAATACTATCACCGACCATCAAAAGTTTGCATGACCAAAGCTTAGATTTTCGTCTGCTGGTTTATTGTCACAATATGGACTACGGTGACACAGGCTGATCACAACTACCATTCAAAACAAAGCACAACTCGGTACAAATTTTCATTTTAAAAATTAAATTAAATGATAACACAGACACTTGGAGTATGGACCCCGCCCTTCTCCGCACCTGAATATTAAAAACTAAAAGTATTGTTTATTACAAGAATAAGTTTTTAAATTTGTGCTTATATTAGTATGAGACAGTTAAGTGTCTAACACATGAACAAGTTTGAATAGAATTTCATAACGTTTTAAAAAAGTCAATTTTTTTCCAACGCTTCAATTTCCTGAAGATACCAAGCTTCGAAATGTAAACACAACTGACCTACATATATTTCAGGTATTTATGTTATCGCATGCCATTTATTTCTGGTGTAAATCAGTCGATGCATATATTCCTTTAATAAATAACTGCATGTTATTATCAGATCGTACCTTTCTTCCAAGCTTTGCACATTTAATTATATTTTCATAACTGAGTCACATGCTTCTTTACGAATTCATGACCACTGGAATGTTTCCCGTAAATTACAGCGGGAAAATCGCTGGGAAAAAGAAATTCAATCGCAACTACTCGGCCCTTTCCGTCAGTCTTATTGATTTGGTTTCTGTACTGATTAGGGGAAGTAACCGCTGCGGGGTTTTGGTTCTCGGCATGAAAATGAAAGCGCAAAACAGTGCCGAAACTCATTCCAGTCATCTCACATCAAAGGAAAGCGTACGTTGTTATCTTCATGAAATTATGATATTCTAGGGACTTTTTTAAACGTGGTTAAAATAGCGGAAAACATGTTTTATGTTCAAGACATGTGACCGAGTCGTAATAATATGCAAAAATATTTTGACGTACGGTTTGCACGATAAAAATAGGCATGGTGTATACAAGTGCGGATCAAGAAGGGGAGCCACGCACATAACCCCAAGCGTCTGTGAATGATAAGCAATGAATGAAAAGAGAAAAAAAAACAAAATAAATAATAGTTCCGTGTCTTGTCGAGTAGCACTTTGTCACTTTGTCCCGGTGGCTTAACTCAAAATAAATACACTGAATCTCGCGATGTGACCCATCCAAAGCAGCAGATCGATTCTTTACTGTCTCCAAGACTGTGGATGTGGGGTCTCTACGTCACAATCTCCAGATGTGGCTCATTCCAAGCAGGAAGATCGATTCTGTAATGTCTACAGAGTGTAGATCTAAGACTGCGTCGCTTCGTCACAATATCCACAATCGTCGCTATGTTGAACACATGCGTGATACAAAATTGAGGGTGAATCCTCCGAGTAGAAGCTACAAAATATAAAACATGGTAAATATACATGGTACACAAATATAAGGGTAAAAGTATGTCCCTTTGGAATAGCCGGACCTTTGTCGGATTCCTATAAACAAAGCTTCTAAAAATACAATGTCCCTTATGGAACGCCATAAACACTGGTGTAATTAATTCAACGTTGATTATATATCGTAGCACGTTGTAAGATTTAAAACATAAAGCCAGACCGGGTGCCACCTAAAGATCGACGAAATCCTTCCTTGAATCGAATCCATATTATTTCGTACAACAAAAAAAATGATGATGATGTGATTTGAAAATTACTTAAAGAAATAAGAATTATATGAAAAGAACATCTGCAGCAAGCTTAATTAAAAATGACTTTTACTGTATTAAACAAGAACATGAAAACTTATCTTAGTAAATATAAATGAAACATATTCATGATAAAATAACGTGCACTCAAGACGTTAACGGCCTTCCATACAAACAAAAACTTTCAGTGATAATAAACAGATTACAAATATTCAAGTAATTAATGAAACACTAGAGTCATGGTCAGACACTCACATTGATATTTCCATAGACTTACATTATAAGAAATGGTCCCTAATCCTACCTTAAAATTGAGTTTTCATGCTAAAGAGCTAATTTTTCTAGCAGAATGAAATGCCTGACACATGAAAATGTTCTTGTTATATAGGGGTAGCCAACCAAATTTTTTGCAAAATGACTTCAGAGAGGATTACCCCCCATTTCATTGAAATTTTCTGCTGATCACAGGACTGACATACACTTTTTATGAATGCAAATATCGAAGTCAAAATTATCACAGAGACTCATGAAATATTTCATTTTCTCCAGAAAACAGTGTAGTGTTACTTTTTAAATTAGTTTTTTTACTTAAAAATACCCCACTTCCATCCAATCACCTCATGTATAAATTGACTCATACGGTTTTCCCTGCACTTTTTTTCAGCCAATCGCTGGCCATGTTACAATGCGATACCCTGACCTCATAACTCTACAGAAGACAAAAAATTAGAGAGCGAAAAATTACTGTCAAAATACAGAATCATATTTCTATGAAACGAATTTGTAATGAAAAATTTAACTGAATTACAAACTTCTGAATTAACAAAAATTTACTAAATAAAACAAAAAGAAAAGAAAAATTTACCTTGCGCAAGCTAAAACAAATTTACACCACAAGAATAAATTTGTCGGTCATAAGGACTTTGTGCGTCTTTACACGTCTAAATGTGAGTCCCAAAAAAGATTTAAAATCCTTCAATATATATGCATAGTTACCCTGAGCAGAAAGCGTGAAACATAACTTTCACGATTTTCTTGCATTCCAGAACGAATGTATAACAAACTTTACAGGCCCTTAATATCAAATTTATTGAACATAAATATATTTGCACTTTATCACAAAAATCTAACTTTCTTATCACTGGACCGAATTTTATGAAAAATATGTCAAAATGCTTGGAATGATATCAAGAAATTTAAGCAATAGATAAAAATACTGAAATAAGTAATTTCACTCGATAACTCTGAATTTTACAAAAAGATGATACAATAATTTACATTGGATTCAGTATAAAACTGAGGTTCGGCATGAAAATAGAATACTACAAAAAATAAACTACTGAGAGCACTTCTGAACATTTACGCATTATGTAAAAATCAAAGTACTGAAAACACTTCTGAGCATTTACGAAATGGTTTACTTTGTGACATTATACAACAACAAAATACAATTTGTGGTTATCAACAAATTGAATTTGAATGGATAAATAATTTTTTTTATTATGATTTACGTGCTGTTTGAATCAATGTGAAACCGAAAATACAACTGTAAAAATGTTTGTTTAGATGCTATAAGATAGATAAATTTCCATTACATGTCAAAAGTTGTCTCTATGGCCGAGTAACAACTTAAGGTCACCGACTTTAAGTAACTTGCCTTTCACAGCCGTGGGTTCGAAAACTATCATTAAATCATTTCGCACGAGGAAGCTATAAAGCTAGCCCATAGACAGTCAGCGGTTCTACTAAGGTCATTTTCAACCAATTAAGTAAGAAAGTTGCCGTATTATCTTTACAGTGTAGGTGTGACTTAATTCAAAAGAAAAAGTAAAAAGACATGAAAAAACATAAGATTCTAATGAAAATAAATAAATAAATATCCAATAAAACAAAAAATAAATAAACAACAATAATAACATCCCCCCCCCCCGAAAAAAGAAAACAGAACAAAAACAACAACAAAACAAACAAACAAAAATTTAAAACTTACAGTATGTTCTTATTTACGGATGTTCCCTTTTATAGCATTCAACATTCTTGTATTGTTCCCGACTTGCATTCTCCTATTTTATAAACTGATTTGAGTCTCCTCTGCTCTTCATTTGCTTTATTAATGATCATTTTGTCAAAGTGTGCATACCGAAAGGGAAATGATCCTATTTATTTAACGCATAAAGGAACGTAAATTTTTTTTATCTTAACTTTATATCATAACATAACGTTTAAAACATTTAATTTAAATCAAGATTGATATAATATTTATTTTTAAAGTTACAGCATACATAACTTCCCGTTTATTCACTCTATTCAAGTAAAAGCTTGTTTCTTTATTGACTACGCTATAATACACCGAAAGACGATCTACAGACCTAATTGGCTGATATAAAACACAAGCTATACATTGTGATGTTTTATATTGCTTTCTTGAGCATATCTGTGTTTTATAAAGAATAGATCGATTACATGCGGGCCATAAATCAATATTCTATTCGAAAAAATAGTGTTAATTATTTTATGTTTCTTGTTCATGATTTAGTGTCCGTGTCAACTGATATCATGATCATTCCAAAAGTTATTGATGGCTTTGAGGAAAGGAGCGTTTCCTTCAAATGTGCTCACAGTGGAACAGGGTTAAGAATGAGATGGCAACGGAAAGATCGAAGTAATATTTGCTATTTTGCAACGCATGACTGTAGTGCTCTCATAACAACACAGGACAGAACCACGTGCACTTGTGAAAAAGATTCTAAAAACGAAATTGCCGTTTCTTTACAAATATCTAATATATCAAGTGCTGATCACAATACTACCTGGTTTTGTGCAGTCGTTTATATTACAGGAATACGCAATCAAACAGCATCTTTATTGGTCAAAGGTATGTATAAAAATAACATATCTTACTCTCGAATGGTTAATAAGATAAAATCGGTATTTTCCTAATAAAAATAGCATGTAAAACAACTTGACATAATCAAAATCCTTAACTGAAATGCTATATTGGTGTAGAGTAGATATGACTTATTAAATATAAGGTTCTATATGAACAATTAAGCACACACATAAAAGAATACTGAATTCAAACTCTTACCATTGTTGTCGAATGACGTAAAACTAACATCACATTGCTTTTTGATAATGATAATACTGGATCTATCACTGATATCAGTGTTTTATTACAAAACATTTATACTTTTATCTGACAATTAACTTCAGCTGCAAATGATAATAGGATCAACGCCAATATGTATCCTTTAAAACTTTAAATTTTTATTTAAAATATTTGTTATGATGTTTATGCAAATAAAATTACGAGGGATAATCAAACATTAACCGGACTTTGTAAATGATTCTTTACCTGTCCAATGCATTAACATAAAAGTACACGGAACATAAATAGGAATCTATCCCCTACATGTTACAAAAAAATACCAACAAGAAATATTAATAAATAAAAACGTTATCCTGTTATTGGCATGTACATGTTAAGCTATGCGGCGCACCATGTAACTTTAAAATTGACGTAAACGACGTCAGAAGCGTATTGTCTTTAGCGGAGCAGCTTCTTACTCATTAATGAATTAGGCCAATACTTGATACACTCGTTGTTGATGGTGGGGCATCCACTGTCTATATACATATCTTTGTACGAGTCGGTATCATATTGTATTGTAATAGAATGGATGATGATAAAGAGCTTCAGAAATGACGGCAACTTCCGTTCTTTCCTTCTGTAACTTCATTGCTCATGCAATAAATCGCACATGCAATAAACAACACTAGGTATTAAAGCAGCACGCCTCCAGATTCCTGCTAATGTTCATGAAAATTTTGAAAATGTATTCAAAAGAAAAAAATTCTTAAGCTGACAGAGAAAATAATATGCACATTTAAAACGGCACTTACAACCAATGTAAATTACAAAAAAGAGGTCAAAATATGCAAAATTAACCCTCTCTGCGTTAGTAACGCAGTAGAAATATGGTGAAAATCTGAAAAATTGGCCATCAATCGCAAATAACAAAAAAAAAAACAATTATCTTTAGTCTTTACTTTTCATAAAACCTCAATACATTTTTTTTAGTGTTATTTTCTTGAAATATTTTGGCTCATCTTGAGGCATGCAGCTTTAAATTAATATAATGTTGCTGACTTATAATGTATCACACATACGAGAAAATAAAAGAATAATACAACTTACAACAAAATTGCCATTATTTTAAATAAAACGCATAGCCGATTTTGAACTTTGACTGTTAAATTTTTGACACAATTTTTACATTAGACTATTACGTAAAATAATAATTGATACAATTTTATACCAAGAATATAAAATTAATATGTAATTAATGCATTAACAATTAACATTATAAAATCCTTAGTAATAGTTGTCTGCACCGTCTCGTTGCTACTTTCGAACATCGTTGACAATGTCCGCAGTCAATCGACTGTCATTTTTCAAGGTCTTGGCGATTGACGTCACCAACGTCCTTAAAAATGTCTTCTTTAACCTTTCTCCCCTACTTGTTTTCCATTTCTATATTACCCTTTCTTAATCGTTTGTTATGGAACGCCTGGACTGTCTTATGTGTAGAATGACTGATATACATGGTTAAATGTGATTCTGTTGAGTCCGAGATACAATATGCTGGGTCAAAATCCCAATATACTGGGTGGAAATCCAAATGCGCTCAGTTATTGAAGTGTAATGTTGTGTGCTGATTACATTTTATTCAGTCAAGTCAATGTATTGTCGGGTGCATAAGTCGTTATGTTCAGTTTATAAAACAAACAGGCATGTGGTAACACAATTATGTTGAGTTAAAAAGATATGTTGTAGGGTATGACAGTTGTTATGCTCGTTTAAAATAGCTCTTCTCATCATGTTCAACCATGAAAATAAACTGTTAAGTGGTACTATCATTTCGTTTGGCTGAGGCAGTGTATTATTGGGTGATCCTTTTATCATTTTCAGTTGAAATGACATGCTGTTGGGTGCTTTATTCAGACTGTTCAGTCGTGAAATAGAACTGTTGAATAGTACTATCATTATGTTCAGTTCAGATGATGTACTGTTCGGTGCAGAGGTCATTATGTTCAGTGATGTCAGTAGTGAACACAGACTGTTGTGTGATACTATCATTATGGTCAGTTCAGATGATATTCTGTTCGGTGCAGAAGTCATTCTGTTAAGTAGTGAACACAAAATGTTGTGTGATACCGTTATTATGTTCAGTTAAGATGATATACTGTTCGGTGCAGAAGTCATTATGTTCAGTTCAGATGATGTACTGTTCGGTGCAGAGGTCATTATGTTCAGTTCAGATGATATACTGTTCGGTGCAGAAGTCATTATGTTCAGTTAAGATGATATACTGTTCGGTGCAGAGGTCATTATGTTCAGTTCAGATGATATACTGTTCGGTGCAGAAGTCATTCTGTTAAGTAGTGAACACAAAATGTTGTGTGATACCGTTATTATGTTCAGTTAAGATGATATACTGTTCGGTGCAGAAGTCATTATGTTCAGTTCAGATGATGTACTGTTCGGTGCAGAGGTCATTATGTTCAGTTAAGATGATATACTGTTCGGTGCAGAAGTCATTATGTTCAGTTAAGATGATATACTGTTCGGTGCAGAGGTCATTATGTTCAGTTCAGATGATATACTGCTCGGTGCAGAAGTCATTATGTTCAGTTCAGATAATATACTGTTCGGTGCAGAAGTCATTATGTTCAGTAGTGAACACAAACTGTTGTGTGATACCGTCATTATGTTCAGTTCAGATGATATTCTGTTCGGTGCAGAAGTCATTATGTTCAGTAGTGAACACAAACTGTGGTGTGATACCGTCATTATGTTCAGTTCAGATGATATTCTGTTCGGTGCAGAAGTCATTATGGTCAGTAGTGAACACAAACTGTGGTGTGATACCGTCATTATGTTCAGTTCAGATGATATCCTGTTTGGTGCAGAGGTCATTATGTTCAGTAATGAACACAAACTGTGGTGTGATACCGTCATTATGTTCAGTTCAGATGATATTCTGTTCGGTGCAGAAGTCATTATGTTTAGTAGTGAACACAAACTGTGGTGTGATACCGTCATTATGTTAAGTTCAGATGATATACTGTTCGGTGCACAAGTCATTTGACAATGCGCTGAGTGGTCATACAATGGGGGAGTTTCCCACACTCTACTGATAAGCGGAAGTAGTAAATAAGAGGTATACAAACTACGGCCACTTGATGTTAACACAGAGATTAATAGAAAGTTTCAGAGTATTTTGACTGGTCATTTGTTAAATTAAAGAAATAATTAATTACCAAAGGGGCTTCAGCAGCAGGAATAAAAGAAGATTTTATCATTTAATATTAAGGTTATTATATTTAACAAATTGAATATATTACATTAAATCTTAAACATATAAACTGCTTTATTTTTCAACTGTACAATGTAGACAATGCAGACTGAATAACAGTATGAAAATGATCTTGGAGAAATAATCAACACTTTCCTGTTAAAACTTTTAAAATAAAATGCCATTATATACATTTTATTTACGTAGAACTAATTATCAGTGAATTATACAATATGTTTGATATAATCTATTTTGGTATATTTGTAAATTTATGATGCTTCAAATAAATATAATCATATAGAGTTTATTGCTTCAAATTTGTTCTTTAGTAAATAAAATGCATCTAGTTATATAAATTTTAGAGATTGAAGATGTATGACAGAAATTTAAGACTTTAAGGGAGAACACATCCTGCTACCAGGCCATTAGCTCAGTTTTACATACTTTATTACATGTATAAAGGCCAGATGTACTTGTATGTGCATTAAAACGTGACATGATCATGATAATGTGTGTCTGAAATAATAAAATCTTCACATTATATATCTGCCTATTGTTAATGAGTATCAACTACGTATTGTATGATTCATGATATTCCATTCTAGTATGTCAAATCACTTAAATATTTTCTACAATCAAGCTAGTTTGTCAACAATTTAGAATCATGAAACAGACGTATAAAATATGTGACCCCTGTTTAATTATAGCTGCAGGAAGTTCTGATTTCAGAATTTTCAATTGCTTTGCAAATCCTATTACCCGTTCCACATGTATCAGTTTTGATGCTATGCACACCTGTCTCTGACTACAGGCAACCAAAAAATTACTATTACTACTGGTATATAAAATATATTTCATATAGTAATTTTGTTCTTGATGATCAATGTGGGTGATTATCATTATTAATTGTTATGACAATTTGATAGCTTAAGGTGTATGTATGTATTCTAGTCTTATTGAGGGTTTATCCGCCCTTTCAGGCACTGAGAGTATGGACACCTGACATGTCACTATTCATGTCCTTAAATGGTACTATTCCTATAAATTTTGAATTCAGTAATTCATTGAATGATACTAAATATGTATGCAAGTCGATTTTTGTGATGATACAATTTTGATGCACGGGAGGACAATGAAATCATTATATGCATCATGGAGAAAAATAAAAATGAGCTTGACTGATCGATAAGATTATGCAACGACTGATACCTGACACATTTTCTGTATGCACCACCGACATGCACGAAAATTCTTTCCAGGTTTTAACAAGCAAATTTTGAATGGAATTGCCAAACATTGGTTTCTTTTTCAATTTTGTCAGCTTAAGAATTTATCAAGAATTTAGAACTTATCTAGAATTCAGCTTAAGGTCTTCAGCTAACCCGTTTATATACTATGATATGACATGAACAGATCAGATGACGCATCAGATGAAAAACAAAAATGTTAAAGAGCGGCTTATAAAAATTTGGAAGCCAGAACTAACATTTTGATCATTATTGGCATGGCAAATGTGCGAGACCATAGCTTCATTTTACTTCTTTATACTGCTACTCTCCATTTATTCTTTAATATATCTTGTGGAAAATGAAACCCCCCAAACCCATTACAAAGTGGAACACAACAGTAATTCACCATTTCTAAGACTGCAGTGTTAATCAGTTTACTTTAAAATATAAACTTTAGCTTATTAATTAGATCAGTTGATTACTCTACTCTGCATTATCCAATTGAAATTCAATGTAAACCAGCTATACACAGAGATAGCCAGCATACAGTAGTATACCTCTTATTTGTCAGGGGCGCTGCAGAGATAACTCTGCTGGATTATCTAGAAACTCTCCCATTATGTTGGGTTCATTCGGATTTCTTCGCGTCAAACAAGATGGCGGGCGGGAACAACTAATTTCCATAGGTCACGTCGAGGCTAATGACCACTAAATTGCCAAAACAATTACCTATTTGAGTCACACATGGCCACAGTATAAAGAACGTTAAATATAAGTATGGAAACCCCATTTGAGACACACATGACCACAGTAAATGGAACATTATATATAAGTAAGTGTAGCCTAATTTAGTCAAACATGGCCAAAGTATAAAGAAAATTCTATATAAGTAAGTCAAACCTAATTGAGTCACATATGGCCACAATATATTAGACATAATGTTTAAGTCAGGGAAATGTATTTGAGGCTACCCTTACTTATATATAATGTTCCATATACTTTAGTTATGCGTGACTCAAAAAGGTTTCCCTTACTTAAACATAATGTTCCATATATTTTGGCCTAGTGTGACTCAATTAGGTTTCCCTTACTTATATAGAATGTTATTCATAATGTGGCTATGTGTGACTTTATTGCGCTACCTATATACTTATATTTAATGTTCCATATACTGTGGCCATGTGTGACTCAAATAGGTTTCCCTTACTTAAATATTATGTTCCATTTATTGTGGTTATGTGTGACTCAAATGGGTTACCAACAAATACATTTTAAGTTGTATATGCTGTGGCCATATGTGACTTTAATAGGCTACCCTTACTTATATGCTCCATATACTGTGGCCATGTGTGACTCAAATAGGGTTCCCTTACTTGAATATGATGTTTTATATTTTAAATTTCGTTTGCTGTGTCCATTTGTGACTCTTATAGGTTACCAAACAGATAAATTTTAAGTTTTATTTACGGTGGTCATGTGTGACTTTAACAGGCTACCCTTACCCCTATTTTAAGTTTTCTATATACTGTACCCATTATGACTGTAACAGTATAGTATAGTCATGAATTAACTATTAATACCCATAGGGTATTTAAAAGTCCAATTTATGAAAATAACGTTCTTAAGCCCCCCGATAATATTTACAGGGAAGAAAATTGTTTTGGCAATTTAGTGGCCATTAGCCTCGACGTGACCTCTCCCATCTTGTTGCCCGAAAATATCCGAATGAACCCAACATAATGGTTGTATCACACAACAGTTTGTGTTCACTATTGAACATAATGACCTCTGCATCGAACAGTATACCATCTGAACTGAACAGAATGATAGTACCAAAAAACCACTGAACATAACGACCTTTGCACCGAATAACACATTGACTTGACTGAAGAAGATATAATCAGCACACAAGATAATGATAGTACCATTTAAGATAATGATTGTACCATTTAACAGTTCTATTTCACGACTGAACAGAAGGAATAAAGCACCCAACAGCATGTCATTGCAACTGAAAATAATAAAAGTATCACCCAATAATACACTGCCTCAACCAAACAAAATGATAGTACCACTCAACTGTTTATTTTCATGGTTGAACATGATGAGAAGAGCACCAAACAGCATATTATTATAACCGAACATAATAACTGTAACACCCTACAACATATCTTTTTAACTCAACATAATTGTGTTTCCACATGCCTGTTTGTTTTAAGAACTGATCATAACGACTTATGCACCCGACAATACATTGACTTGACTGAATAAAATACAGCCAGCACACAACATAGCACTTCAATAACTGAGCACATTAGGATTTCAACCCAGCATTTTGTATCTCGGACTCAACAGAAAGACATTTAACCAGGTATATCATTCAATCTTAACATAAGACAGTCCAGGCGTTCCATAGTTTGTGCTAATCAAAAACTATTTTGTGGCTTTCAGGGACTTTTCCCTTGATTGCCATTATCTTTTTCTACGTTTTAAACAGTTTTCGCCTTACTTTTGACAAACCTTTTTCTTATTCATCGATTTTCGAGACTTTCCGACGACATAGTTTTAACGCGAGTATTTCTTTTACACGTTACGGCAAATACAGATATGACTTAAATGAAGTCATTTCTTCTGACAACGTCAAAGATATATTTCATGACGTTTTGGCTTATTTTGAAATCTAAATGTGCCCAATTAAAAAATATACTCATCATATAGCGCCTGATGTCAGCGCAAATTAACGCACTGCGCCGAATGTGCGTTACCGTGGTTTTTAAGGAAAGCTGTTTATCAGATTAGGTATAGCATCAATTTATAGGTATTGTTTTCCGATTAAGTTTGATATATAACAATAAGTGATTCTTTAATTGACAGTCCCAGTCCGGTTTATTTTTGATCATCCCTCGTATAATTAAGTAAAAAATAAAACTATTAAGAAAACCTCAAATACAAGAACAAACTTATCAATACTTGACGTATCAAAATGTTTTCAATATTTTAACAAAATTAATGTATATTTTAAGAGTGAATGATTAAAAAGCTAATGATGTCTCACTTAACTATAGTTCCAGTTAAAGCATTGACTATCACGCCCTTTGTGAAGACCATACAGATTTCTGAAAATAATACCACAACGTTTTCTTGCAACACTTCCTATAGTCGGCCGATTCCCAAAATTCAATGGATAATAAAGGATCGCAGCCATTTGCAATTAACTGGAGAGCAAACAAATAAAACTAACAATATAGGTTTGACTTCTGCGGATAGTGCTCTTAATTACAAACCTAGCAGAACATACAACGGATGGAAACTTTATTGTATTGTCATCAAGTCGGAAGTGCAAAAGAAAGAAATATCATCAAGTTTAATATCACTTAATGTCACATGTAAGTCTTACAGACTCAGTAAAACTGAGCATGCACTATTTTCAATATTGTCGCTTATGGCCTTCTATGGTGGTACCTTTTTTCTCTATTTTACCTACATATAGCGTAACTTTATTTTTTTTCATCATGGCTCTAAATTAACTTAGACACTTTGATTTTCATTTTAGTATTTTGTTGTCTGTTTCATTTTGTGTTTAAATAAATATGTTTTAAGCCAATTTTCTATTCATATGTTTCAAAATTTTAATTTCAATGTTTGTTTCAGATCCACCTGATTTAACACTGATGATAAATGGGTTTCTTTCAAATGGAATTTATTATGTTATTGAAAATAGCACAGGCACTTTAACTTGCAACATCACCGGAGGAAATCCAAAGCCTTTATTGGCATGGGCCAAATGTTTTGATAATGAAATTTATACTAGTTTTCGCAGCTCATCTACAGCAGAAAGTGTGACAAATACGTTGACTTGGCGGGCAATATCTGACACTGATAGAGTTTGTACATGTCAGTCCATACAAATGGAAAGAAATGACTCTGTGTCTATAAACGTTAGAGTATTATGTAAGTTTGAACTGTACACTTGTTTCCCTTTTTTATTAATTAAAATATTCGGCAATTATATAAAACATTACATTAGGATGATAGCTTCTTCGTTAAAAAATGCATGTTATTCATGTACAAATTTACAATATGTATGCACATTGAATTAAGAGACATAGTAAGCAAAAAAAAAAAAAATGAAAAGTGTATTTGCCGGTTATTTTTCAAATGTTAAGATTATTTTTTTTTAGCTTTTTGCATTATAACATTAAATCGTTTAAGTATCAACTAACTTATCATTTGTCTTTGTTTGAAGATCCTCCTACCCTACCAATATTTACGTGTGGTTCATTAAATGTGTCAGGAAAAATATATATAATACAAAACGAACAACTGTTGTTGGATTGTAATAGCAATAGTAAGCCCCCTCCAACTTATGAATGGGAAGCAAAACACATACCAGCTACTAACAAAAGAACATTGCAAATTACGGAGACGGAAAAGATTCACCAAGGAAATTATACATGTTTTGTTACTAATACAATGAATTCAACAGAGGGAATACAGAATGGTTCTAGTAGAAACACTGTTGAAGTCAATGTTCTTTGTAAGTATTGTACTATAAGGATTATTCTTCATCAAAATTTACGTTCAACAATTTTAACACAAACTAGAAATATTGGCATGCAATTTCATGTTTTAACCAGCTCTCAGCTTTTTTGGAATGAAGGAGGGGCGTCCGTGACCGCGTGTTTCAGTGCAATTATCCCTTACCGCTCAGTGTTTACTATTTTTTATATAAGATAGCTCGGTTATCTAGCTGGCTTACAAACATCGGTAGTTCTACTGATGTACCCGCTCGTGCCTGAAATATTATAGGGAAGTTGCCTGTGTATTCCTTCACTAGTTCAACTGGACATTCGAAATGTGCACGTTGTTGGCTTGAAGAAACCTTCAGCCTGGAAATGTTGTTAATATATACAAGAAAACATACTACAGTGTTGCAACTTTCCATTAAAATTAAGAAATTCTGTATTGCAAGGAAAAATAACACAAATCAACAGGTCAATATGTACAAATGAGCAAATTATTTGGTAATATCTTTCTCTACAGATATGGTATGTTTACAATTATTACATTCAAGTACTTGTATCTTTAAATAGAAATCGTTTTAGAATAGTGTGTTTGTACAAAAAAGGTTTTTTAGAAAAATAAAAAGAAAACAACAGAAAATACTGAAGAATAACATTGTCTGATTTGAAAATAGATAAAATTTTGAAACGCTTTGTATATCCGCCTTCAAACACAATAGAAAACCTTACATAAAAGTAGGAGATAAGCCAAGATAAGACCCAATCCCTACCCCTCAAGAAAAAAATATTCACACCAAAAATGAATGTCGTGATGAAATGAATGATATGAAATTAATTTTTAGATCCGCCTACAATCAACACATTAAAAAACCTGACTTTAATAGAAGGAGATCATCTCAACTTTTCATGTTCAGTTATTTACGGAAACCCAAAGGAAACGTTCTATTTATGGACATCTGAATGGCATAGGAATTGGTCAAGTCAATATTTAACAATACGTAACATTTCAAGGAATGACGACATGAATTACAACTGCAGCGTTTACAACATTATGACGCCAACTGGAAAATCAGCTGTTAAAGGAACAGACAGTAAAATGTGGCATCTATCTGTAGAATGTATGTACTATCTACTTTGCATGAACCATATAATATCATATACATGTAGTTCTAAAAAATGTCTTACAGCTATTTATTCAACACAATAAGTGAAATGTTGTTTATCTATCTTATCTATCGCAAAACATTAGATTCTACATACTTATTAAACTTCTATTCTTTCCGTTTAGTGATTGAAGAAAAATTCCCATGAAGTTAATTCATAACAAAATGATTCATTTTCAGACTCTCCGACAATAAAGGATTTTTACGTGAATGGATACAAATCTGAGCGTAATGTGACAGCAACTGAATATGACAACGTCACCTTTATTTGCGACATTGACAGTAAACCAATTTCGAATACGAGTCTACGATTCACGACGGACAAAACTTTGGTTTGGACTCATTCAAATATGCTGAGTTTTACCCTTAGCTCT